AGAGAGAGAGAGAGAGAGAGAGAGAGAGAGAGAGAGAGAGAGAGAGAGAGAGAGAGAGAGAGGCTGCAGCACAAAAGAAATTGTTGTCACATAGCTATCAACTAAAGGAGTGCACTTTGTGAAACAATGGAAGAAAATAGCACACAGTATGACAGCACTACAGGGCAGAGAGGAGAGAGAGATCGACAGAGCCAGACCGATTTACAGATGTGTGTGTGTGCCTGTGTGTTGTGAATGTTCACGACAACATCCCCTGTTCCACCCAGATGAGTAGATCCAAAATCGCAGCAACTTTACCTCTATTGTAGAAGATGAAGCATGCTTGAGATGAAGCAATCCAGCGAGGAAACAGTGTTGCCTCCATAGTTAGCAACATGAGGCACAATAGAAACGTTACCTTTATGCAAGCAATGCCTTCACAATAGATACAACATCACAGGAACCTGACCTTTACGCAAGCAATGCAGCACACTTGAGAGGGGGTTACCCAACAATGAGACAGCAATATTATAGACAATAGATCAATTATGTCATTTTCTTGACTATATTCACCATTAGTATCGTTGGGAGGCCTCCCAGTGTGCGTGTGTGCGTGTGTGTGTGTGTGTGTGTGTGTGTGTGTGTGTGTGTGTGTGTTTTAAGAAACCCCAAATTCTCTCTCTCATTCCATCCAAGAATCATCACAAAGCGTCCATAAAACAAAAAAAAAAAGAGAAACAGTATAGTAGTGGGTGTGTTTGTTTGTGTTTGATGGTGTGTGTGAAAACACATGTTTAGGACGCCTCAGCACATAACAAATACATGCTCCAACTCGTCGTCACCGCACAAGGTAAATCTCAAGGGGGTCCTCATATTCCATACACTTCCTCTATTTCATCATGCTTCACAGGACATAATAAGTGCGCATTTGTTATTACTGCAACAGGCAGGAGGGATTTACAATACTCGTAATACACATGCGGGTTGGTACTGGCAAATCTCAAACAATCAATTATTGACATCGAATCTTGTTCTTCTCCAATTATGGAAATGAAAGCGTACGCCGGCCTATACGTACGTAGGTGCATACCCTACTGACTACCTTATGATGTGAGAGAGAGAGAGAGAGAGAGAGAGAGAGAGAGAGAGAGAGAGAGAGAGAGAGAGAGAGAGAGAGAGAGAGAGAGAGAGAGAG